GATTCACAGCATGGTCAGTCCATGGGGAACTCCCCCCTTTATGGGGGAGCTGAGTGCCTCAGGTTTCTCGCAGATGCACCCTTTCTCCTTCCCAGGGGTGAATGTGATGCTCCCTAAAGACCATGGGGAAACTCAGCAGTGCTGTTTCGATTTGATTTGCTCTTTTTTAAGTATGTTGATTTCCTCCTGTTTTTCTTTTGGCAGTGCTGAGGATGGAACCTAGGGCCTCACATATGCTAGGCAAACACCCTGCCATTCAGCTACACCCCAGGACTTCTGAACTTTTTTAGGGGAGGGGTTTGCCCTGAAGAGTGGAATGTTTTCAGGCAGCAAGGTTACTTCTGCTTTGTGTCTGCTCTGCTTCCTCAGCCCAGGCACTGCCCTTGGCTGGAGGGATGGTGCTGTAGGGGAGGCATGAAACAAGTTAGCAAGCCTGGGGTTGGTCCTTTCCCGATTCCAGGATGACACCTTTCCCCCAGCTCAATGTGTTCTGCACATACTTGGTGCTTATGCATCTCGTGTGCAGAGTCCTGCTGGCAAATAAGGATGTATTCTTTGCCCTTAGAGTGCCTACACTGCTGGGAATGCAAAGTCAACCCATACAGAGGAACAGCTCTCTATTCCCTGCAAGAATTAAGTTGTGTGGTGCTGACTGTGTGCTGGTAATTCAGTCAAGAGCCCCAAGGAGAACTGAAGTAACTGCAGACGGGGTTGGCACATGAGCAGGCTTTGAAGGTGGGCTAAATAAGGTGAAAAGGGAGACTCTGCCACAGAAGAATAAAGGCATAAGACTGAGTACTAGTTTGATGGGGGGCAGGAGGCCTTAGAGAAGGGAGCAGCTAACATGGGATGGGCACAGCCTACAAGGCTCAAAGTGAAAAGAGGGCCAGGTCAGGAGATGTCTGTTCTCCGTCTGCCACTTTCTTACTCTGTCACTGAACCCTTCCAGTTCCTCCATCTCCTCAGTAAGATGAGGGCATTGTCACCTGGTGACTTCACAGATGGGCGTCAAAATGAAATGAAACTGTATATGAGCACTTTGTGGCTGCAAAGAGGCCTGCAGCATCAAGCAATGTTATCACAGGGCAACTTTGATAGAGTAGGACAGTGAAAAGGACCAGCACTTGGGAGGATGGTGGGGTTGAGAATGGCTGTGATGGGCACGGACAAGTGGCTGGTCCCAGAGATTTTGCAACCTCATGAGAGACTTCATTTGGTATTTCATTCCTCTGGCCAGGCTAAGTATGCAGAGATTTGGGGACAGGGAGGTAGGTATTTGCTTTTGTGCTCTGATGTCAACACTCACTCATGCATTCCCACTTAGGACAGCTAAACAAAGGACAGAATACGTTGCCAATCCTGGGCCTGTTGTGTACATGAGCCAGGGTGGAGTTGAGTTAAAGCCTTTCTTCTCTGAGTGCTGAGAGTATGCAATCAGACCAGAAAGATATGGGCAGATCACGAACAGCAGCTTGGTCTTGGCAGATCTGAGCCGAGAATTCTCAATTTAAGTAGCATAGCACTTGTTGCTCTCATTCCAGAGCTGGTAACTGAGACTAGACCACTTCAAGAGGAAAGTGGGGACTGCAGTTAGTGGCTGAGCCTTCAAAACATGAGCAGACATGAGCCTCGGCACTTGTAGGCCTCAGAAAAGCTACCTGCAGTCCAAGGAATCTCCAGGCTCAACCCACCCCGTCCCCCATGAGACTGCCTGATGACTTCTCCACATCCTTCAGTCCCTGGTTCTGAAGAGCGGGTCTCCCTCCAGTCTCTGGAGAACAGAAAGCTGGGATACACATCAGGAACTCTCTATCCTATTCTGTCCTTGGGTCTCGCCTCTGGCAGAGACTGGGGATTCATGGCTCCTGCCAGCCCCATACTGGTGCATGTACTGAGGGTGCTGTACTTTGCCTTGCCAGATTTGGGACTTTTGGCCATGGAGACAATAAACTTCTGTGGTTTGAAGCCACCGAATTTACAGACTTGGTACAGCAGCCACAGAAACCTTACCTGAAATAGCTGGAAGTTTAGTGCCTGAGCAACTGGGCTGAACAGTGCATTTCATCTGCAGTGGGGAAACAAGAGGGCGGGCAGCTCTGTTAAGCTGTAGGCTCCAGAACATTCTAAACGAAAAGTGGCCAAGCAAGTGCTGCCTGCAGCACTTTGGGAACTGAGCTGCCTTGTATCCATCAAAACTCTAGCAGGGCTGCCGTGGGGACTTTGGGGTATCAAAGTGTTGCTCGTTCTTTTTTTTTCTTTTAAGAAGCATGCTTGGTTGCTGTGACTGGTGTCCCTGCCTCTATAATGAGTTGGGCAACAGGAGTCCTTGGAAAGAGACTGAATTTGCACAGATCAATGGCATTTGGGAGTTAGAAAATTGCTCAGGAGCCAGCTAATTTATTATGTCATATGGGCTAGACTGGAAAACCCAAGAGGATATGCTGTCTCTTGGCTTTCTGTTTTAAGAAGGAAAAAGAAAGCACAAGGTGTCACATTTGACTGGTGAGCGGTCAGAGATGGCCTCTGTCCAGCTAGACCTTCAGGAGCCTGAGGCTGGTCCTTCTGCCCCAGCCCCTCTCTTTCCAAAGACCTCAGTAGCCACCACCACTCCTCTCTGTTCTGTCACTTAGATGCCCACTCCTGCATTTGCCGAGTTCTGGCTCTGGCTAATTTGCAGGGGACACCTGTTTTTAATTATCCTTGGCTTGAGGCCTGTCTCTTCCTCTGGACATCCTCTGACATGTGGGCTCCCGCCCCTCAAGGGTGGCTGTTGAGCAGTCTGCGAGTGCTGGCTGCCTCCTGGTGGGTCCTGAGCTTCCCCAGGGGCACGGCCAGTCTGCTCCTGAGCTTTTTAAAAAGAAAAGCAACACCTCCCAGCCACCATCCAGCCTGAACGCTTCTCTCTCCACCTTTTGGAGGTGTGTGTGGTTGGTCTCAGTACATAGGGATGCCCTCAGGGCTAGGATTCTGTCCCACAGGGTTTTATAAAATGGGCCATGTGCTGAGGAGGAGGGTGAAAGATAGACAACACTTTGCGTGAGGGCCCCTGGAAGACAGGGCACCTTCAGCAGCAGATTCTCTGTTGTCCTTGGGGATAGTTCTGATATTTTTATGGAATGGAACCTTCTAAACAGCAGTCACTAGGTCCCTGAAATGAAATCTGACCTCCCTCAAGACCACCCCAACATGGTACTCTAGCTCCCACAGCTGGAGTACCATGTGTCACCTGGAGGCCTCACAGGTCTGAAGCGAATCACCCACGCCCAGGGCACAGGGCACACCAGGAGTCTAGTTTCCAGCAGGCCATGGTTATTTGGAAACAGTTGTGGCAAGCGGCCTTGTATTTATTGTTCCACCTAACATTCACTTCTCCATCCTTCAAAAGAGAAATTCATCAGTGGAAAGTTTCCCTCAAGTGGTAATTTTCCTAAATGACTTAGTGATGGTGCCACATCCAGACTGGCTCGGCTAGAGGGGGTAGCTGCACATGTGTTCGTTCCTGTGTAGGCACAGCATAGCTGCCTCTGCTGTTGCTGAGAATCCCTTCCTCTGCCTTCCCCTGTCACCCCAGTCTGAGGAAACCAAATGCTTCTTCTCCCCGTCTCCCCCAACAGAAGTTTTACTGGTTCTGAGGCCCCCAGCAGAAAGCTCTTCTTTCCAAAAATCTCCCAGCCCTGGTGACTGCCAAGAAAGACTCACCCTTCCCATCTAATTAGAGCCTTTTCCTTAAGCGGCATTTGAGTCCCTCTGTCATTCATTTTCACAGTGATAATGGACTTGGATAAGAGGTCACAGCCTCTCCCATATCCTGCTTTCTGTGCAGAGGGTGTGGGGTTGCTCCTCCCCATCCTCCCAGCCCCTCCCCAACTGCCCGCCTGTCACGGAGACTGGTCCCCAGGCTCAGCAGCTGTGATGGAGTCACCCTGCTCACAGGGCCAGAGCCCAACTCCCACAGTTGGCCCCTCTCCCCACATTCAGGCTTCAGCACAGTCTGCCACATTTCTGGTGAGTGTCATTAGCATTAACGTGATAAAATGACACAGTGTAAATGTTAATAAGGTCTGATGCCTCGCCTCCTTCTGAGTGGCAGTTTGGAAATGGTACCATCATCTTAACTCCAAGAAGCAGCTTTTAATTCCTCTGCTCCCTCAGCAGCCAATTTGGCATGGAAAGCCCAGCTGCCCCCAACTCCTCCTGATCTACCGTGCCTCGCTCACCCCAGTTTCTCTTGCAGAGAGGGTCCACATTTCCACAGACCAGTTGCCAAAGTAGGGTTTAACTTCTTTTTTAAAACCTTTCTCCTGTTCTCCAAAGAGAAAAGAACTGGGCGGGGGGGCAGTGCCGCAGCACCTACCTCTCTAACCAGCCCCTGTCTCCACCCACAGACTTCACCCCAGTTTTTTCTGTACATGGCACCTTTCCTTCTTAATCCAGGACATTTCTGAGTGAGTGGCCCTGGCAGTGCCACTTGCTCTCCGGATGTCCCTTCCCTGTAAGCTGAAATGTGGCTGAAGAATGACATTCTGATTAATCCTTTCCTCTGCGCCCTTCAAAAGGGGCATCCTTTCCTCTGCCTACCTTATCAGAACCCCTTGTTCCCTGAACCCTCTTCCTTTTTTTGTAGTAGCAGTGAAGGCCTGGCTGGTGTGTTTCTTGTGAATCCTTTTGTACCTAACCCATGCTCGCAGCAGCCCAAGGCCTCCATCAGTACTAAGAGCACATGGTAGAATAGGCAGGGTCCCCAGGGCAATGCCTGAGCCTTGCCTAGAAGTGCAGAAGCATCCGAACAGGAAGCCTGAGCAGTGGCGGAGAGGTGGGGCTCACGATCTCCTATCTGCCCCTGACCCCTGGCACCTACCCACAGTGATGCAGTTGGACCACATGGAGCCTTGGCCAGTGCCCATGTACAGCCTCTTCAGGCAGAGCTATATATGCATTGTGTTGTCCCCTGTGTGGGGGCCTGCCTCTGAGCACTGCTCATTGCTGTTTTCATCCCCCAGGCTGTGTTTACCCTCCTCCTTGGACCTTTCACCTTCTTTGACGTCCAGAAGACCAAGTACCTGCAGATCCTGACCTCTCTGATGAGATGGATCGGTAAGTCTGAGAAACATCACGATTCTCTTCCCTTCCTCCCCCCAGCCCTTCCTCCACCTCTTCTGAGAGGCTGAGCAAGCTCCTGGCTACACGGGGGATGTGGATGTTGCTCCCCTTGACAGGGTCTGCCTGGACCTCCAACCTTTCCAGAGGGCATGGTGGATGCAGTGCTCTGTCTGCCTTTCATTGCCAGGGAAATTCAGTACCAAAAAACCAAGTGACTTTTTCAAGCTGGACTGCTAATTCTGGAGCCAGCCTCCTTCACATGCCCACACTGGGTCCTTACCCACACAGCCTGGTGGTAGGCTCCTGAGAGCCTAGGTCAAGCTGGGCCCTCTGGAGGGGACAGGAATGCACCACTCTGACTTCTCATAGGTGTGCTATGCAACACAACCATAAAACCCCATGGGCCATGGGGGCAGCTACTCTCTGCCTCCAAGTCCTGGACCATGAGGGTGTGAAAAGACCCCATCCATGATGGCTTCTAGCTAACTGATACCTGCTGAGGGAGAGCACTGTTGTCCCCAGCTAGAGCTTAGGGGTCTCTCCCACCCTAAACCAATTGGCTGTAGGAAACTCGTTCACTTTTGCCACACCATCCAGCTCCAGCCACCTCAGGGAAGGGGCCAGCTGCTGATCCCCCTAGAATGAGAGCAGGAGGTTGTGAGGTTCCTGCTCCTTCCCCCTTCCCCTTCAGCCACTATGTGCTCTGGGACACTTGTTTTGCTTGCTCTAAAAGCAAAAAGGGGGCTGAGGGTAGAGCTCAGTGGTAGTGCAATTGCCTTTTATGTATGAGGCCCTGGATTTGATCCCCAACACTGCAGAAGGGGAAAAAAGGCTGTCACTGTTCTGATAGAAAGGCCTGGACCAGTGGATCTCTAGCCTCCAGGAGCTTCCTCGCTCCCTGGTGGAGTTTCCAGAGGAACCCTCACTAGCGGTCCTCCCCAGCCCCCTTTCCTACTATATTTGCCTCTTCCACCTCAACAGGACTCTATGCGTGTCCTGCTGCTGTGCTGGAACCCAGCAGTAGATGACACTGAGGAGTTTCTCCTAGCTACTTCGAGAAATTGTGGCCTCTCCAGGCCCCTGATTCCTCCGACTCCATGCAAGGAGCCGGCATACCTGGGCACCCTGGCATCCTCAGTTGGAAGGGACTATGCAATCAGGCAGCCTGGCCCACTCTGACTTGCAGCATGGGAGTAGAACAGCCCCTGGGGCTGGGAGCTTGTGACAATGGGGTAAGACTTCCCTCCTCTAAGAAGGCTACATGTTAGTGCTAGAGCATTCTTCCTTATCTCAAGCCAAACTGGCCAGCCTATACCTTCTTCCCACTCTTGGTCTGTGTAAGGAAATAGAGCCAAACAAGATCAATTATAAGGCATTTATGAAGCCCCAAGAAGGAGTGTGTGGAGTGTGAGCACCCAGGCCTCTGTCACTAAGGAGCCTGTCTTTCCTCATCCACCCAATATGCATGCACTCAAGAGACAGGAGGATACCTGTCCACAGCTGGATATCAGTGAATACACATATGTATCCACCAATGGGGTACTGTCCCCAATGTCATCTCCATGTTCCAGAACTCCAAAGCCCTGGGTTATTAACATGACCACCTGGGGAGCATTACTTAGAGCCCAAGGTTTATGAACATAGCCTCAGTAGGGAGGGTGTGGAAGTTGGAGTCAGCAAGGACCAGAAATACATGCCATCCACTCTTCTTATTTCTTGTGGGAAGTATTTTAGAGTCCTGGACTTCTCCAGGTGTTTTCTCAGTGAGCAGAGTCTAGAGAAGAATGTTCTCTCTCTTCACCTCCCTGGCCTAATTCTGTTGCCCCAGCTCCTTCCCTTGCATGCAGGTCTGAAAGTCTAAGCCCTGCCCTGCTAGCACTTGGCTGTCCTCCACTGCTGGGACAGGGGCTTGTTTAGCACTGGTCCCAAAACTGAGCCCTGCCTCCTCTCTTTCCCCAGCCCAGGAGGCAAGAGCAGGCAGCAGAGGTGGGAGGGACATGTGTGTTTTCACTAGTATGATGGATTCCTGTGTCAGCCCATGAGGGGAATACCACCCAGATAATGATAGTTAACTATCCTTGTGGACCATGAGAAATTCCTCTCTGGCAAGTTCTACATCCATCTCAAGAGGGAAATGTGTGAAAGGAAGAGGAAGCTGATGGTAAACACCCAGACCTGGGTCGAGCTCCTGCTGCTGGCAGGTCCAGGTCCTGGAAGGCAGTTGCCAGCAGTCCTTGCTCCATCCCATTCTCTCCTCCCCCCAGAATCTGGCTGAAAGCTGGGCATGGTGGTACAGGCCTGCAATTCTAGCTTCAGGAGGCTGAGGCAGAAGGATCTTGAGTTCAAGACCAGCCTGGGCTATATACTAGGATGCTGTCTCAAAACAAAATAAAAACCTGGCTTATAGAGTGGAACTGACAGCTCAGGAGCTTTAGAAAATCAGCTACTGTTCCCCTATGGGAAGCTGCCATTGTCTCATGAGCCCATGAGGCCATCTTGCTTCTTTTCTCCCACAGGGCAGCCAGGCAGTTGCAATAAGCCCTAGGTCTTGTGGTTGGACTGTCACCTGTGGCCCCTTTCTCTAGCATTCTTCTGTGAAGTGGCCCATTCTGTCCGCCCTGGAGACAGCCTCTGCAATGCTGCAGAGCCAGGCCACAATGGCTCTGAGAGGGTCTGGGCAGGAAAGTGACCCTTAACAGAGTCCAGCTCATGAAGGTTGTGGGCGCTTCTTTTGGTGGCAGCGCTGCTATCTTGACCCCTTATCTTTGCTGCTGTTTGCCTCTTCTTTGTCTTGGATCTCAGAGCTAATGAGATGTCAGGAGTTTCTCAGATAAGTGCTATAGGTCACTGCGCACAGGCAGTCATTTTTCTACATGAGAACCTCAGATCTCTGAGCTTGAAAAGCAGACCTCCCAGTGATAGAGCCCACCCAGGAAAAAGAAAAATTGCTGTTAAGTAAACTGAACATAGCAATCCAGGGTTCACTTCCTAGCTGGGGAGTTGAGTCACCTAGGCATTTCTCTTAGATCAGGATCAGATCAGGAGGGGCTGCAGCAGGTCAGGAAGGGAGCAGAGGTCATGGAATCCCCCAGGAGCAGTCAAGCAATAATACCAAATAGGCATCCCTGTTTGTGAGCCAGACCTCTGTCTGCCTGCTGAATACTCACAGGCCAGCTCAGAGCAGGAGCTGGGCCTTTCTTTGTAGGCCAAGCTCACCCCTGCCAGTTTTTCTAGAACACCCTACAGGCAGTGATTTCAGAAGTCCCGTTTGTCCCCTCAAGCCTCTGCCACACTGTCAGATTGTAGTGAACTTCTTTTTCATTTTGCCTCTGAAAAGCAGCTGTGTAGCCCATCCCCACAGGACCCTCCTTTATACACCCCCGCCTGCCACGCACACTGCCTATCCCAAGATTAGGGCCATGCCTTTCCAAGAGCCAATGAAGGAGCTCAGGGTAGCAATAAGCTGGCTTGGGTTCCAGGAAGATAAAGGGGAAGAATGAGCACCAAAGGGACTGGAAAATCATGAATAAATGTGCTGAGCCGGAAACTTTCTCGTGCTTAATTAGGAATTTGTTCTGCCATCTGTTGAAATGAGGCCAGGGGCGGTCACAGGCCCAGAGCTCTGCCGAGGAGCTTCAGGCCAGCTTCTCTGAGGACTTTTGCTCGGCCTTCCCTGGTTCCTGAGCCCCAGAAGCCCTTCACAATGCCACAGTGGGATTTGTTGGTGTTTCTTTTCTGGGTTTGGAGATGGGGTTGAGAGTGGGATTTAAAGGGTTAAAAAGCCTTGCATGTAGGCACTTGTCCAGGGAAAATATCCAAATACAGGTGACAAGTGCCGATGTTGATTCACTTCTTACGTGCCCCAAATAAGTTCTGGGGACACTAGGCTGGTCAGTTTGGAATACGTGAATTGTTAATGTCTTTGAATTGAAGTATGCAAGGAGGACCTCACTTTGCTGTCCCTGGCAAGTGAGACGGTTATTCAGGCCTTAGCTGACCTCCCACCACCTCCCTTGGTCTTCCAGTCAGCTCCCCCCAGGTGCTCACTTCAGATCAGCTGCAGGTGCCTGAGCACAGCACCCTGGACTTAGCAGCTGTTTTGCGCTGGGTGCCACACCTCCTGGTTATCACACTCGCTCTGTTCCTTTTGATGTGGGTCAGACAATATCTGCTCCCACTGTGCACAAACAGGCCAAGCTCTTCCTACAACCCCGTGTCCCCTTGCCCCCCTGCCCCCACCCCCAGGCTTCTTGTCTGCAGTGTGGCAATGAGGACGCGCCTCTCTGAGGCTGTGAAGATGCAAAGAAAGTGTGTAGAAAGTGTTCATTAGCTCTGTACCTGGAACCTGGTTAGCATGCAGACATGAGTTGCAGTAGCCTCACCCTCATTGTCATCTCAGCCAGCTGTTGCATCCTGAGAGGCCTCAGAAGGAGCCCTTCTTGGCCTGACTGGAAGATGAGCGATACAACCTCAGCCATGTCCAGAAAGAGCCATGGCACTCAGTGTCCACATTGGGTGTCCATTGAGAGATCTGTACAGCCTTTTCTAGCCAAACCCAAGCCTCCATCCCCACCACCTTCAGGGAAGCTCAGTTTGAGAGAAATGAGAAGCAGGCTTATCTCATGGAGGGAAGGAAAAGACCTCTCCAGCCCCAGGTCTCTGTCAGTAACCGGCGGTCCAGGGACACAGGAAGACAGGCAGCCACAGCAACACCCATAGGACCAGCTGCACCCATAGGACCAGCCGTTGTGGCCTTAGATCCTGATCCTTAAGCAACAACCTCAGTCCTTTTGGCAGCTCCCACCCTAACTACCCAGCTGACTGCCCCATGGGGAGCTCTCAGTCTGGAAGGGGCCACAGTGGCATTTATTACTTCAGTCCCATTACTTACTTCCCCTGGCAGATGCCTGCGGATGCTTCCCACTTGGGGACACAAACAGCTGGCTCAGCTCAGGGTGCCCCATTTGATGTTATTAAAAACACGATTCTTTCTC